TTTTTGGATCTGGGCTTAAATGACCTCCTCGGTCACCTGGGAGGACTGTGGAAAGGCCGTACGTGACTCCTGAACCTCAGCCCAAATCTTGTTTTTCAGTCTAGTATCCAGATGTGGTGTTAGATGCAGTACAAACACGAGGTACAAAAGTCACTGCCACAAATTTCCAGCTTAAAAAAAAAGGGGGGGGGGGGGGAAACCAGAAAAAAGCAGTGAGAAAAGAGCAGTATCTCATGCAGACAACCAAGACTGCAGCAATTAAAGGAGCACGTCTTATTTCCTGAGGGCATGGAATAAGAGATGATGAGAAAGGATTTTTCTGCTTATTGTCACTCTTACATTACAAAATTGAGTTTGGGGAAAGTGTTTTTAGTTGAGGATAAATGCCATTAAATGCTGTCAGTGGAAAGAGCATGGAGAGTACAGAATTGTTGAAGAGAAGGGGGATGAACCACAGATGGGATAGCTAATGCTGCAGAACAAGTTAAACAAAAACAAAAAAAAAACTTTGCAGTGGGCTGGTTGGCTGGACAGGTTATGAATGCCTTTTAAATACAAGCTGTAGTTAATAGCACTGGTATGAAATTCCTGAAAACTAGCTATGTTCTTTGAACTTGCACTTTAACTGACTTGCAGAAGCATGATGGCCACTTCACAGTGATCCAGCTGGTTGGCATGCTGCGTGGAATTGCATCGGGCATGAAGTACCTCTCTGACATGGGATATGTACACCGTGATCTGGCAGCCCGTAATATTTTGGTCAACAGTAACCTCATGTGTAAGGTCTCTGATTTTGGTTTGTCACGAGTGTTGGAGGACGACCCTGAAGCTGCTTACACAACAAGCGTAAGTTTCTCTTATCTAATATGAACACTTTATTGCCTTGTGTCAGCTATTTTTCTGTTATTCCTGTTTCAGACTTGTCTGTGCCATAGGAATAGTAGTTTGAATTGGCCTGTTTTGTTCCACTGTCAGTGCATGTGTTTTGATAACACTGCCAGTTTCTTAAGGGAAGTCCTTTTGATTTTGGTTGGGTGAGTGGTTTATAATAATCTTTGAAAATTTTTAAGCAAATGAAAATGTTAAAGCAATTTTTAAAGCAGGTGTAGATGGGAGACTTTTCCATTCTTGGGTTTCCACAGCCTTTCCTGTTTTACTTCCCTTTGTGCATTTACAAAGATATGCCCTTAAAAGGGGAAGGTGGGAGAGGGAAATAGCATTGATTCCACTGTTAGAAGCAGGGTATCAAGCCTTGCATTCATAAATTAATTTTTTATTTTATTTTACTGAAAAATTTTTCTGAAAACAAGAGTCTTTCTAACAGGTTATGTACAACCTTATTCTCAAGGTTTAAGTCTCATCCCATTAATACTTAAAATTCATTACACTACTCAGGTAAATTGCTGTTATAAGGGAGAATATTTTCTCTCTGAAGTGAAAAAATCTTGAACCTGGAGAAGCTTACTCAAATTCGACTTAGAAGAAACAAACTGCATTTGCAGCATGAAGAAAATGGGAAACTGAGTGTGTTGGTGTCCAAAAAAAGTCTAGATATAGCACTAATTCATTACAGCAAAATGTTCAATTACTTTTTTCAATTACCTCTTTATTACCGTAACATTAAGAATCATAGCTAAACATAAGCTGATTTCAAGTAATGTTAATCTCTATCACTAATAGAAACTAAAATGACTTCAGAGCCATGACACGTTCTCATTAATATTCTCCCCAAATGCTCTGAATTGGTCTGTTCCCATGAGAGGGAACAGTGACAGAATGCTAATGGAGATAATAAATTAGCATTAAATAATTTATTTCAACCTACTTCTCCAAAAATACTTTCTCTTTAAAAGGTGATTTATGGCCAAAATGAGGAACTCATCTAATTTAACTGCATTGTAGTAAGTACTTTGCTTGTTCTGTTGAATTCAATATAGCTACTGAAATGGGATTACAGATTTTCTTAGTTTAAACCTCAAACAGGTATTTTCAGAGAAGTTCACTGTAAATTTCAGCCACTACTTAGAACAAGGTCTATGCAGAATTGCAAGCTAACTAAAACAGAGCAAGTCAAATTACAAGGTTTTCTTGCAGCGTTAATGTTCAGGCCACAAAACCTCATAGTTTCTCCCTCTGTAGAGGAGACTTGGTTCATTTAGTTCTCAAAACCTCTTTTGCTTAACACTAAAGTCTGAGGATTGGAGGAAAAATAAATATTACTGCAGCTTAACAAGTTACTGCATGTTGGCTGAGCCTTGCTAATTGTGCGCGTGAGCATGTTTGACTGGCAGCAAGCGCCCATGACGAAAGGCAAACTAAATTACATTACTCGGTGTTGATTTTGCAGTGTTCAGCTGGTGGAAGGCACTGGAAATTGCAAAGCAGTTTTACTCACTTAGGTTCAGGAAAAACACCAAGTGATATTTTGAGGTTTTCAGCTATTACCTATCCTGTAAGTTTCTAACGGATACTGAACGGTTAGTTTCTCGCAGTCATTAGTGCCTCCATTTTTTTTTTATCATAGCTAGAGCTGCTTTTCCTCAGGAAATTCTACTTTGTTAAAACAGAAACATTTCGTGGAAATGCATCTGTGTTAATGGACTTTCTTGAAACATAGGACAGATTTTGATGAAGTGCTCACTATTTTGTATCAATTTACGTGCTCGGTTACTGTGATGGTCCACAAGTGTGAGGCCGCTGTTGTAGGCAGGTCGTCTCAGAGCCAATGCCCTCAGGCCTCCAAGGCTGCAACCACGGGCTGTAGCAGGAAATTAGGCAGTCTTGCTGAGCAGGTAGCTGTAGCAGGTCTATCGGGACACGGCAAATCAGGAGGGGACGTTACAGAGGCTGTTGGCCAGTGGTGGGACAACGAATTAGCCAGAGCTTTCAGGTGAATCTGCTCTGACCTTGAACTCTGAAAAGAATACCAAAAACCTTTGAAACTTGGGGCAGGGGGGAAATGCTATGTTTTGTTATAATATCAACTAGAAACTTTTTTTAAATAGGGGAAATTCAAAGCAGCAGCATCAGGCAAAATAGAAATTAAAAGCATTTTAAACAACTCATTTGACCCCTTCCTCCATCTTTGCAAGTGGGCTATTGCATGCAGCCTGCGTGTCAATTGCAGTTCATTTTGCAGCTTTGAGTCTGACAAATTCTGCTTTGTCCCCTCTGGTCCTTGAGAAATTTCTTTCCCTCACTTCTGCAGGTGGACTGAGTGCTCCAGTCCCTGTTCCGCACTGCGCTCACTCTGCATCATCTGGTGATAGTAGAGTCTTCCCTGGGATGCTCCTGTCTTCCATATCCTCCATCCTCTGAGCCTTGCTCCCCTTGAACAGGTTCAGGATGTTTGTCCCTTTAGGGAGTTGAATAGCCCAGTCCCATTTTTAAAGGGACACAGCACAGTCATGAGCACAAAAGGCAGGTGGGCGAGTGGGGGGTAGATCTCTGTCATAGAGGCCAAGGAGGACTCTGTGAAAGAGTTCACCCTTTGAGCAGACTTTCACAGTAACAGATGATAATAAAACCCCACACTGGAAAGGTGACATGCCATCCCAGTTTTCACTGACAATTACACCACAGGCATTTCTCCCGATCACCCTTTCTTTCTATGGTAAGTAAAAAGATAAAAGAAGTCACCTTACTGGTCAGGAAATGACATCTGAATGGGATCAGAAAAACCAGTCGGGAAGAAATCCATTTCTCCCAAACATATAGGAATTTGTTAGTTGGGATTTGATGCCTTGCAAAACTTGGCAATTCTGAACTCTAGCTGTGTGGTACTTGAAGAGAATTATGAGCTCAGTATTTTACTTGCTACAAATCATAAACGTTCTCCTGTAAGGCAAGAAACTATTCACTAGCAAAACCTACTGGCACCTTATGGTGACTTCTTCCTTTCTTTCTTTTCTTCCTTTCTGTGAATGCCATGCAAAAGTAAGTAAGTAGTTCAGGATTTCTTCTTAGGGAAACACAGCTTATAGGGTAACTGTTCTACTAATACTCTTGGAGTATTCTGACATCCAAGTTATCCATCACCTGGTATTCTGGGAGAACTCATGAATGTTTTCCCAACAACAGGCCACAGGTGTTACTAGAGCTTTTACAGCATGTGTATATTCGTACTGTGTTTTTGTCATATGCAGTTGAAACCCTCAGTGCCTCTACCAAGACTCTATGCTCTTAGCAGTCATGTTCCCCCCACCCCACTGCCAAAGCCTTTCTTGTGACAGATGAGTTGCCTATAGGTACAAGAAATCCATAGAATTGGTCTACATATTGTATAGTATTCCTTTTAGGCTCGTATTTCCTTTATTCATCTTCTCCCAATACACTACTGTCTGTCAGTGTTTGGAAGAAATTTATTTTTTTTCTTCTTTTTTACCTGAGTTTTGGTGCTAGAAATAGAATGCTACGATTGGCTATTTTCTTTGGTTAAAAATGGCTACCAAAAAAATTAGTCAATCAGAAGCCAAAGGATCGGGTTTTCTTTCATCCTATCTGTGATGTGAGCCTCAACAGTGGATGTATCTATTCCTAGACATGTAAAAATAGTGAAATCGAGCAAAAGACAAATAAATTATTTAAACGTGTTGTTAACCCTCCCAAAATAACCCAAGAAGCCCTTTTACCTCTATAGTTTCTGTGTCTTAGCAGGTACAGCCTTGAGTCAGAGGTGACCACCATCTTTTGCCTTGTCCTCCTGTTATCATCCGGTATATGCATCTTCCTTTTTCCTCACTGTCTTAGGGCGTGTTACATTCTGACTATTGGCATATCCTCCGACACGTAGGGCAAAAAGCAGAGTTTGAAGTCTAGGAAAAACAATAGCACAGGGAAAGTTTTGAAAAAAATTATTACACTCTGTGCTTACACTGAAACACTAGTTAGGAAACAATAATCAACAAAGAGTGATGGAGTGCTTGCCCCCAGGGTACTACAATTTAAAGTCAGTATGTCTCCCAAGAACTTCAGGCTGTGACACTACTCATAGAAGAGCTCTTACCTGTTTTGAGAGTGTGAGAAAAGACTGAAATCTCAGAAGACTGTTTTCCAACTTGTGAAGCCTGTTTTTGTGTTTTTCCCCCTGCTCCTCCAACATATTGAGAGAAAGAATGTAAATATCTTTTTGATAAGAAGGTGTGTTGGAAATAAGAGATTTGCCTCTGTTTGCTATCATGGATGGCAAGACTTACAGCACGATATAATTTCAGAATACAAGAAGGGAATTAAGACCTAATAACAGTCAACCTCCAGTCTTTGTGTTTCAGATTCCTCAGGAAAGATGAGGCAACTTCTGAGATAACTGAATAGTATGTTTCTTTCCACAGAGACAAAATTTTCATTTTTACTAGTGGTTTCCAAGGCAACAGTAGCTCATAAAAAGGCATTTCTAGTATATAAACAACTGTTCTTGAGAAACAACTGTTCTTGTCAATACAGGGAATGTCTAGGCTCTCATATCCCTGGTTACAGATACTGTGTTATATAATGTAGATTTTCTTTCTTTAAAATAGAGTTCAGGGTTCACCTGTATTTAGAAAAGAACTATGAGTTTCCAGGAAAACTTTGTATGTGTAGCAAAATGTGTGTGTGTATGTATAAACAGAACAGAATATGTGGCACTACTGCAAAAGGACAAAACTGGTATTTCTGTTAATGGTGACACCATGATATTCTGCTTCAGAAAACTGATCTTAATGAGATAAAAAGCTGCTGCAAACTGAATTATATGGTGCATAAGAAAGAGCACACTGGAATGTATTTACTTGCTGTATTTCTGAATGCAGCCTAATATATTTTAATCTATTTTCTGTAGTACTAGTTAAAGAATTGAATTATTGCCT